AATCTACATTTTTGTCTACTAGATACGAAGAGTTTGATTCTTCAGCAACAGTTAAATTCTAAGGAATTATATTGGACTCGCACCTTAGCCGGGAACCTCATACTATCTCATAAGTAAGTTTGCTATTTTGCAACACCCTGTATAAATGAAAGATGTCAGTTTTCTTTTAATTTTTATATAAATATGTATTATATAAATAAAAACAATAAAATATAAAATATTTTACACTAGCAATGATGAAGATAAAAACCAAACACTACATAATTATTTGGGGCTCTCGAACGGACACCGTTATGTTTTTGTGAGGCAGCACCTGACCCCCGTTTATGTAAGTCTCGTCTTTCACGATCACGTCCTCGCCCAGAACGGTGATGCCTTCCATTCTAACCCATCGTCCAATGGAACAGGTCCAGCCGATGATACAGCTTTCCAACCAAGAGTTCGAACGGACTATCGCGTCTCTTAGGATGGTACTCCGTTTGATACAAACGCCTAGCAAAAACATAATGTTATTTTTTTATTCACTTGAGCATTTAGCCGCACTGAAAAGAAATTAGATTTAAAAAGACAAGTCGATTTTACAAACTTAGCAGCCGTGATATAAAAAAAAATTAATATGGTTTGTAGTGCGCGTAAAAACTTTAATAAACACAATCTAATTCTCTAAAGGAATGTTGTGTCATTGAGGGAATTTAAAAAGAAAAGTTAGAGTATGTTAAGTCGATTTAGAAAGGTATATTATAATGTAAGTTGGTTTTCACACTATATTCCGGTATAGTTTTTAAATGAATTTAATGTAATTCATTTAGTTTACCTAATTTTACTGCGTTATAAAAAGTTATATGGAGTTGACATTCTTGACAACAAATTTTTGTATATTAGGATATTTCCTATTTCAAATAAAGATTATTATTATCTTAAATTTACATACCATCTTCGATTACCACTCCAGGTCCAATAGTAACATTAGGCCCAATACGGCAATTAGCACCTATTTTAGCTGTCGGATCCACCAGAACGTTACCCACAATCCCCTCACCCTTTGACAGTTTACTTGGAGCCGAAATTCTCAAATATTGCAAGTATAAACACATGCCCGTAAGAAAGTCCTTGGGCTGGCCGATATCCATCCAAAACCCCTTCAACTCAAATGCAAACAACTGTTTATCAGATGCCATGTAAGGAAAAACTTCCTTTTCTATAGAGGTCGGACATAATTCTATCCTACTTAGCACACTAGGGTTCAAAATGTACAAACCAGCATTTATTTTATTCGAAATGAACTCTTGGGGTTTCTCTACGAAACTAGCTATACATTTATTCTCGTCGTAAACAACAACGCCGTACTTAGAAGGTTCTTCTACCTTGGTTACAACGATAGTACCTTCCTTGCCGTGTTTCATGTGATAGTCGTAGAGATTTCGAAAAGGAAAATCACAAATGATATCCGAATTAAGCACAAAGAATGGCTGCGAACTCCTCGAAAGTATATCTTTGGCCAAAGCTAGAGGACCAGCTGTGCCCAAGGGCTCCGATTCGTGAGAAAAAATTATGTTCACGCCCATTTTTTCCGCTTCCAATTTTATCTCATGCTCCATTTGCTCTGCTCTGTACGACACTGCTAAGATGACTTCCGAGACCCCGGCCTCTACTAAAGCTTCCACTTGGTGAAGTAAAATAGGTTTATTTGCAAATTCCACAAGTGGTTTGGGTCTACTTAACGTTAAGGGTCTCAGCCTCGTGCCGTATCCTCCTACTAGGATCAAAGCTCTCTTCTGTTCATTCATTTTGTAAGGTTGGAACGAAATTGGTCAAATCTTTGGTACTTAGAATCACAATAGTTAAAATCTAACGATTAGTCACCTTTTATTCAATAAATTTGTTTCTGTATTCGATAATCACTATATTAATTGTAAAATATGGTATAACAATACGTTGTTGTGATAACAATCGAGATAACAGGTGGTAGCGTCATTTAAAGGTTATCTTTTTAATTAAAGTAAAGGTTATATTCTTCTTCTATAAAATCACAATTGGTTTGTTTAACAATTATGACTACTATATATTCTTCTTACCGTACTTTTTATCAGTTTACGACAAAAAATATAAAGGTACATTCAAAAATTTTTATTAGATTACCTATGCATTATGATGTCATACCATCGTCGTATGTATGATAAAAGTTAATATTATAATGTTAATTGTTAGGTAATAATAATAACACAAAATATATATCACAGACCACCCTATGTATAATATATTAATCTACTGATGTTTCAGTAGATCTACTGATTTCTCATTTGATCTACTGATGAACTCTCAATTTCAGTAAATTTTTACAAAAATAAATTGGCAGTTGCTATATTTAAGTATTTTACTTTGTCTATGTCAACGAGAAAAAATACGAAATCTCTTTGGTCCATTAATTACAAAGAAATGTTCGTTTTTAATTTATAGTTTTTTTTTGAAAATTTTTATTTACATTTTTTAAAGACAGATGTTTAACATCGACTATATAAATAATAGAAATATTATTATATATTTGATCATGCTACTTATATCTTCTTTTAGCTGCGAGATTAGATGAATCAGCCGTTATTAATGGCGCTGTTTGTACCCTGCCATAGGGTTCAGCTGCCTCTTTATTATTTTATTCGTTATTGGTTTTTGTTTTAACATTTCTCTTATTGTTTAGTTTCTTGTTCTGTGCCACTTTGTCTCCCTATCTTCTCAAACATACCTTATTTTCATTGCGTTTATTTTACTATTGTGTTTCTTTATATATAAGATTTGAACCTCTGTCTCAACGCTTTCGCGCGCTGTAATCTTTATTTGGGATCATTCATAGACGAAAAGTTTAGCATTGCATTATTATTTCAAACTCGTAATACCTAAGTTTATTTGTCTGAGTCTATTCCGAAAATCAAATGGCATGAATGCATTGAAATAAGAAAAAAATTGATAAGGATGTAGATGCTATAATGTTTCTTTCCCAGGTTCTTATACTCTTTTAATTTTACATTTAAATGATCTCATCATCAATTTTCTTATTATTTTATTTTAACTGGTATATTACATAAGAGTATGTAACCCATATACTCAAGGCTGGTAAAATTTCTAAGCAACCTATGCCAATATTGCCAATAAGTCAATAATATACATTTTTCGAATGTGTTATAAAAGAGCGCAGAAACATTTGAATTTATGAATACTAATATGGTGATTTCTTATTGGAGAAACATTGACCAATAGACGACTATTATCCATATATGAGCAATGAAATCGTTAATTGCTGTCAAATGTCAAGAAGTTTAGTTTGCCTTGCCGCCAAAATCTAGAACCCCAAGAATTAAATTAGAACAGCGATCGAGTGATGGCTTTCATACTAAACTGTTTTGTTTGTTGACATAATAAGTTGTGTAGTGTTTAGTATTTAGAAAGTACCTACGTATAAGTTTCGAGAGATTCTCATATAAGTAAGAATTTTTTACCATGTCCTCGCCGTGCAAAAGGATAAAACTTACCCCTAAGAAACAGAGGAATGCTTCTGAAGTTAGATATACCCAAGAATCAAAAGTTACGAGCACACCCCAACGGCGTAGTCAAAAGGAGCCTTCACCAGATATATCAAGGATTTCTTCCAACCCCAGCAGTGATGGAAAAATGCATTTATCTGATGCACTTAATCAATGCCAATACCAAAATCTTGCGAATTCCAGCAATCTAGAATCCGATAGTACATCGATTAGCAAATCGACCACTTCTACTCTTTTTAGCGTTGCGACATCTGAAAAGACTGGAGTTGTTGCAGGTAATCAAAGTAGAATACTTACTTTTGATGTTGAACGTTTTTTTTTTGAGAATGAGATACCTAAATGTGTTTTTTTTTGTCACTTAAATCACCACACTATATTGCTTATCCTGTAATTATTTTATATACAGGATAACCCAGAAAACTAGTCGTAAAGCAACCAAAGATTCCTGAGACTGCATCGTATAAACAGACAGTGTCAAAATCATACTTTTAAGATGGTTTTTCTAATTAACATATCTGATTTAAATTTGTTACATATATGTTATATTTTATTAATATTATTTATTATTATCTCTTCTTAAATATAAGTGACTTCATTTGGAAGTTAAATTCAAGTCCACTTTGTGGAAATCAATACACCTTGTGGTGCCTTAAAATGTTTACAAGCAGTGAAAATTTTGCAATGTTAAACCTTCCACGGAAAAATTATATGTATCGCATTATGAATTCCCATGAACATCACATAGAAACTTCTGTGAGATGTAAATGATGGAATTCTCACCAAGTAATACAAAATATTGTCTCTTGATTTTTTTTTGATTTTCCGCACAACTTCTTTCATTCTTGTTTATACCGTTGCTTATTTACCTTATCGAGTCAATGGGATCCCAACCACCGTTACAACAAATCCCTTATAAAACTTAAACTCTACTGGCTATTTTGCTTTCAGTTAAAAATTCTTTTAGACTTACAATTATAACTTAATTTTAAGTTATAATTGTAAGTCTACTTAGAAAAACTATAACAATAATCACATTCCTAAATGTATATTATACATTTTTTGCTTAATTCTTTGTTTTTATATTTATTTCAATGAAAATTGTTTGAAAAAGTGACTAGAGTAAAAATAAATCAGATATTTTGAAACTCGATAAACATAGGCAAATTCTTCTTAGCTGCGTTTTTAGATAATTTGTACATGAATACATGATGTTTTATTTAATTGAGCAAACTTAAAAATTTAATTTGNGTGTGTTTTCATTTAGGGAAAATACTAAAAAATCACTTAAAAATGTTTTTTGTCGTGATTTTATTTTTTTTTTTTCAAGAATCGACTAAAATCGGTGTACGGTAATACATCGTTCTAGTACTTTGCTAAGACGAAATATATGCACGTCTGGTAAAAGCAAACTGAATCAGTTGATGAGTTCACTGCCGAATTATTATATCATTACTGTTTTTGCAGATTACTCAAAATCTGTGGATAAACCAGATGATAGTAGACAACACTGCTTTTAAATTAACTCTCAATTGCTTCAATGAACTTGGGGGTTTCGATAAACCCAATGTGTCTAGCCTTCCCTGGATGGTTAGCGATTACCCAGTAAATAAAGAATTCTTCATAGCAGCGGCACAAGGTAAGTGTCTTGTTCTGTATATAGTGTCCCATTTGAAACAGATTTCTTTTGTAACTCGGGTGATATATATAAAAAAGGCTGTTCCAAAATTCACGCAAGAATGTTTTTAATAAAAAATTGTAATTGATTCATAAAGTATACAGTATAGGGTTATGTATGGAGTAGCATATGGGGTAAATGGCCCCCACGGCATTGCTGGCGCATACTCTTTTGTCAAAATTTCCATGACCGTTTTACATACAGGATGACCCATTAAGAATGGAAACACTCGCGTACAAAAGTTGTTTATGTCCCGAATTTGAACCGGGTTTTTTTTTAAAGATAGATCTCCAAAAGCTCTATCTTGATGCAAAATTTGAAGACGAAATTTTGAATTTCAAGGTCTACCACAAATTTTTTTTCAAGTGAAAAATGTCAAAATTTTGTAAGCGATTTTTTTTATAAAAAATCTAACTACACCACTGGATTTAGGAACCCCTTAAATACATTTGTACCAATTTTTGTGAAAAAAGTTATAATATCGGCATCACCAGTGCTTGCCGTTGTCGGTGAACCTATTCTTTTATAAAAACCGAACAGAACCCAAAGGGCAACAAAATTAAATAACAAACACTGGTTTAATAATTATTGATAGGAATCATAAAAACCAGTATACATAAAATAAACAACAAGTTCTTCAAATTATTAATTCGTGGTTATTATGCCAAAACTTACAAATATTACCTTCTTATACAAAAATAATTACATTTATAATTTTTTTATTCAAAAAGCCACTGGATTCTACAACCATAATCCAATTCTTTGTGGAGAATTTTCTGAAAAAAATATTACGATATTCCAGAAAATAACGTTGCTTAAAAATAATATGAACAAAATTTGGCAGCCTGTAAAAAATAGAAGTTTAGACAACAAATGTCAAACTTCACAAATAGTGGCACATTGTAATATTTTTTTTGCATGGTTAAATAAGTTCCATAATTCTTTGCGATGGCCCAAAGTTTAACTTTACATGAGAAAATTGAAATAGTACGCCTTTCTGAAGAAAATGATCGGACGTCAAGAGAGGTGTGTATAATTTTTAACAACAGACATCCAGATAGACCTAATATTACGCATAGCACAGTTTTTAAAATAAACAATAAATTTATGGAATATGGTGCTGTTTCAAAATGCATTTTAAAAACGGACAATCAACACGAGCAGGAAATTTTAAATTATTTTACAAACAATCCTCAGAATAGCCTCAGGATTGCCAGTTTAGATTTAAATTTACCTAGAGAAGTATCCAACGCTGCCTAAAAAAAAATAACATAAAACTCTATAAACCTAAGTTTCTTCACACTCTGGAACCAGTCGACAATGAGAAATGAATGGAGTTTTGTCTCTGGGTACAGGGACAATATCTCAATTACCAATTTTTTTAAAAATATATATTATTCAGCGATGAGGCCACATTCACGACGAATGGATTTGTATTATCACAGAACTCGCGGTGTTGGGTTTCAGAAAATCCAGAGTGGATAACTAATTGCCGAAGACAATTTAGACAGAAAGTTAACGTTTGGTGTGAGATACTTAACGAGAGAGTCATTGGTAAGTTCTTCTTTCAAGGAAATATGAATGGCAAACAATTTCTACATTTCCTTCAGAACAATTTTTTTAATGCATAATCTTCCATTACAAGAAAGAGTAAACCTACATTTTCAATTGGATGGACGTCCAATACACAATGCGAGAAAAATCAGGCAGTGGCTTAATGATAATTTCCCCAATCATTGGATAGGTCGAAACAGTCCATTAATTCATTGCCACCTTGATCTCCGAACCTTACCCCACTTGATTTTTTTCTGTGGGGCTTTATTAAGTCCAAAGTTTCTAAGACACTGCCAAATAACCGTATTGAGGTATTGTGCACTAGAATAAGGGAAGCATGTGAGGAGATTAACACGCATCAATTATGAAATGTTGTAAAAAATATAAAAAAGCGTTATAAAAAATATATAGAATTAAATGGAGGATTAGTGGAAGCTACAAAAATTTAAATTTAATGACGTGATTAGTGTAAATCAATTTGACAGACTCTTTTTTCATTTTTAAAAATGTAATTTTTTAATAATTATTTTTTTTATCAATTGTTGTTTATATTAGAGTAATTGTTGTTTATTTTGTGTATACTGGTTTTTATGATTCTTATTAATAATTATTAAACCAGTGTGTGTTATTTAATTCTGTTCCCCTTTGGGTTCTATTCGGTTTTTATAAAAGAATAGGTTCACCGACAATGGCAAACACTGATGATGCCGATATTGTCATAACTTTTTTAGGGGCAACCTTTTTTTCGCAAAAATTGGTACAACTGCATTTGAGGGGTTCCTAAATCCAGTGGTGTAGTCAGATTTTTTATAAAAAAATCGCTAACTAAATTTTGTTATTTTTCACTTAAAAAAAAATTCGTAGGCCTTGAAAATCAAAATTCGTCTTCAAATTTTGCATCAAGATAGAGCTTTTGGAGATTTATCTTTAAAAAAAAACCGGTTCAAATCGGTCCATAAACAACTTTTGTATGTGAGTGTTTCCATTCTTAATGGGTCACCCTGTATATGTGACTGAATTTCATTGATACAGTGCTCAATTTTCTCCTTCTTGGCGTGGGTGGTTGTGAGCTTGTTGGAATAAACATTATAGGCTTCAGAAAACTCCAAACATAAGTCCAACTGTGTTAAATAGCATGATCTGGGTGGCCCATTCTCCGAAACGGGAAATTACACCACCAGGAAATGACTCGTGCAGTAATTGAACTGTTTCTTCGGCTGTATGGCATGTGGCACCGTGTTGTTGAAATCACATGTTGTCTACATCCTATCTTGCAATTTAGGCACAAAAAACTGGATTATCATGTGGCGATAGTAAATCCGCACCAAACAGTGACACGTTGTGTATGCATTTGTTTCTCAACAATCACTTTGTGCAACTATTTTGTCGATTAACGAAGCCATCAAGATGAAAATGACCCTCATTCCTGACGATGATTTTGTTGGAAAAATCAGCATCCACTTGTTCCACAATTCCATTCAACGAACTCTCTTCTCTCTGCATGGTCAGTAGGCTTCAGTTCTTGAGTCAGTTGAACTTTGTGAGGATGAAGATGCAAATCTTTCATGAGAATACGCTGTAGAGAGCTTCTCGAAATGTCCAGTTCCTGACCACGGAGCCGAATTGATGTTCCTGCACTCTCAGCAACACTCTCACGAACTGCTTCGATACTTTGTGTCGAACGACTCGTTGAAGGACTCCAGTCTCCCTGAATTTTTCAACTAATCTCTTCACAGCGGAAGTAAAATCATTATTCCGACCATACTTTGTATAAAAATTGTTAACTGTAGCTGCCACCCCTTCACACTTTTAAAAATATTGCTCAACAATGAAACCGTGTTGTTCTTTTGTGTAGCGCTCCATTTTTAATAACCTTGAACAGTCAGCTGTCAAGCTGTATTTTTTTTGGTTGGCGACACTTTACGGTACAAATGGGGCAAAATTCAAATCTTGCGTGAATTTTGGAACACCCCAAATAGAAGTCGTACTAACAATTTCTCCAAATCGTATTTAAAATTTACTTTTGGCTATACAGGGTGTCCTATTTCCTTTAGGCACTACCTAAGTTGATTTTTTTTTACAAATGTAATATTGTGTTGCATTGCATTTTTTAATTTCTCATTGTAATTAAAGCCTACTTTGCTAAACAAATATTGGGTCTATAATACCGTTTTTGTTATATAAAGTTTATTGCATCCTCGAAAGGATATTGAAAATTTATTGAAAACGTTTACCATTTCAGAATACTGCCGAGAGTACTCCCCGCTTGATTTCATGGAAGATTTATATGTAACGGGAAATCTTCCTCCTCCGCTCAGGGTCCAGAACTTTTTGAGCAACAGTGAGGAATTTGCCACGGTATTTAACTGCCCCGAAGGCAGCCCGATGGCTGTTCAGAAAGAAATGATAGCGCAGTTTCCTAACCTAGATTACTCTTACGACTATAGTGGTATCAGTAATTAAATTATTTAAATAAATTATCTTTTATTCGAAATTGGCATATCATTTATTTCCTGGTTTATTTTGCAAAATATGTTCTGCTTATTTTATTGAATAATGTTATTTCTTAACAACAAACATTTATACGATACATAATATTGTAAAATTCTTAGGAGATAATCTCATATTTTAAGGTAATAGGACATATTTTCTTCCAAGAGTTATTCCCCACTTTCTAATTCGTACAGGGTTGCTCCGATTTCGTCCTGTAAGCAAGATATTCGGTGGGTATCTCGAGCGCATATAGGGGAGCACAAAATAACACTGCTACTGCCTACAATTATTTTTTTCCTAATGTTCTTTCTAAGGGAGATATCCGGCCCAAAAGGATATCTAGAGATTTACGTTTGGGCTTTTAACTTTAAAACCACCTTGTATGCCGTAGAATTTTTCCAAAATTGTAACTAGTTTTTACTCTTTATAAAGGTATTCCGCCAATTCAGACAAATCCTATGAAATGAAGTCAAACAACATTCTTCGATACCAGAAATCTAGGTACCCAAAATGAATCCATAAGAAGTCATTTTTCTCAAAAACCAAGCATTTCATTTAAAAATAGTAAGAGACCTTTTTGCTGTTGATTAACGTCCAATGTAAAAAAAATATTCATTTTAAAAAATTTCCAGTGGCGCAGAAATTATATTAAAAATAGGGGTTACCAGAGGGGACCCCTTACGGACGCTACGACTGATTTATTTTCACAATAATTTATAAAATCAATAGAGCTTTTCATTCGTACACTTCATACTAAATATAAAACTTTCAAATTAAATATAAAGCTTTCATAGTTTAAGAAAAAATAAATAAAAACCAAAAAAAAAAATGTTTTTTCAAGAGCCTATATTTTTAAAAGAAGCCTTTTAGAGTAGGCGATATCTGTTTTGGTTTGGGTGAATCTTATATCCACGGAGATTTTTGGATTTTTGGCTTTCAAATATCACCAGAAATGAAAATTTTTCTATGCGCATAAAAAAAACATGGGCTTAACTTTTGGCGGCACAATATGTTAAAAAAATTTGAAAAATGTCATATTTTTCTTAATATTTAATAATGTATCTTTTCAAGAGTTGAATTTAGATGAAAATGAAAGAGGAAAAAAATGTTTGTAATAAAATTTTTTACAAAATATGACTAGTTAAAAATCGAATGAATCATGATTATTATTGTAAAAATCGAAAAATACGACCTTAAAAAAAATAGTATGATTTTCTTGAATTTCTCACTTGCATATTTGGTATTTTTCGAAAAATTAGACCGGATGTCCCTGTACATTTAGTGTAAATGACGGTTAACCTTGATCGGCTATAACTACGTAACTAATTGATCAAACGATCTGTTTTTTTTAAAGAATCATCTTTCCAAGAACTTTTAAAACCTGCTTTAAAAAATTTGATTTGATTGAATATTCACAGTTATTCTAATTGTTTATAAGCACAAAAATTCGACCAATGTTTAAACAAGCGCCAGAGCTCCTAATTGACGGATTCGAATTTTTCAAAAAGCGTTTGAAAGCTTGAGAGCCCTTCTATATGTGATTAAATTTTCAAGTATCTAAGGGCCTTGGTTTTTGCTGTGCAAAATTTTGAATATTTGCAAATTTTTTTTCAAAATTTGGATTGCAAAATCTACCAAACCGATTTTGATGAAATTTGGTGTGATGATTCTACATAACATCAAGTTTTCTTGAGCCAAGTATGAAGGTCCTATACCCATTTTAAAGACCCCAAAAAAATTCCCTAAAATGCAATGTTTTTTAACCCCATTTTTGGCGATTTTTTCGATTTTTACAATAATAATCATAATTCATTCAATTTGTAACTAGTCATATTTTGTAAAAAATTTATTTACAAACATTTTATTCCTTTTCCATTTTCGCCTTAAATCAACTCTTGAAATGATACATAATAGGAAGAAAAATATGACATTTTTGGAATTTTTTTAACATATTGTGCTGCCAAAAGTTAAACCCACGTTTCTTTTTATTCGCATAGAATCATTTTCATTTCTAGTGATATTTGAAAGCCAAAAAGACAAAAATCTTTGTGGATATATGATTCACCCAAATATGGACTTTTTGCAACAGATACCGTCTGGACTATTTGGCAGAAAAAGTGTATACTTCAAAATGACATTATTTCAAGAGATTTATCCATGGTTAAAGTCCTAATCATAAAAAGTGAATCAACCTGTATACAGGGTGTTTATTAAGTACAAACTTTAAAGAGTGCATCTTTGACTAATTTTAAGATAAAAATTTTGTTTCAGCAATAATTGTTGTAAATGTAAATGTTATTAACTTATTTGTAGAAGTTGTTTAGTCTTATTCTTGTAAATAATCAAAGTTCGTCACATCGCAATACAATCAATAAAAGACACATTTTCTCACTTGTTTTCCAAAAACTCTTAATGATTCAACTTACAAAATTCCAACGCAAGTTTAACTTCAAACCCGTTTTTATTAGAAAACGACTGCTTTCAGCGACAAATACATAGAGTACCTCTTGTACATAAAATTGAATGGAGAATAGGTATGTTTAGTCAAATGATATACAGTGCGGCACAAAAAACTTATGGTTATTTAAATCCAGATACAACACTGTATGCGGCGCCCTCTAACATTAAACAAAGAACTAAGTAAATATTTGAGAGATCATCAATACTCCCGAATTTCGTTAAATTGCCATGTTATTGTACAAAAATATAATCATTTTGTTTTTGACGCCTTGTGTCTCAAGAACCAAGTCATTGCATTCATATGAATATTTTATTTTATAATTAGTCATAGATTCACTCTTTAAAGTTGGTACAAGTACTTAATAAACACCCTGTATAAGGCTATGAATATTTTGCAGTATTAAGTATTAATCAAAATTGGATAGAGAATATTTAGATTTCCTTTTAATCTCTGTTAAAGGTAACGCCCTGTATGTCGTAGTTGAATCAGGATAAGATAAAATTTATTTTCTAACCTGTGGGCGTTTACTCAGTGCAATATACAGGATGTTTGCTAACTACGGAACGTAAATTCAGGCCACAATTTCTTATGGTTTTATAGAAAAAAAGTTCCTATAAACATGTGGCCGGAAACGCTTAGATTCCGAGGGGATACAGGGTGTTGAAAATTTTTAAAAATATATATATTTGATATAAATATGAAACAGTCAATGTTAGGTTCTTAAAATTTGGCAGTTATTGTACGTTGATAAAGAGCTGTATTTTTAGTATAAAGTCAACTTTTATAGTTAGGCGTGAGTCAGTCGACGTTTTTGTCATAAATAGTAGAATGCAAATGGATTTTTAAAAATTTTTATTACTTTCATACTTTTACAACAAAAAAGGTGTCTCGAATTTTTTGCTTAATCCTAACCTATTAGAAAAATTGCTAGCATCTACAAACAAAAATCATATCTCCGATCATGGCGTCATCTACAGGGTGATTCAGTTATAATGTCATTAATTTTAACTACGTATTTGGAAAGTCTAATAAAAAATATATTACATGACCTTTTAAAAGATAAGCAAATTATCCCCTAACTCCTGCTAATTCACATCACATTTTCTGACCGGGAACATGCCGGCAAAACTCGGAACATTCGAACGTTGGAGTGAAACAACTGATTTTCCCAGTCATCTTGAATTTTGGTTTCAAAACCAAAGTGCAGCGAATCCCAACTTTATTAACAAAGTGCTATGGACGGATGAGTGTGGTTTTAGCCATACTGGCATTTTAAATAGGTAGGTACCATATTACTCTGAACAGCATAAGTCACTACAAGGTAAATAATTTAAATAAAAAACCTATGAAACTACCTACAATGAGGTGCTATCAACAATTAGCAAATTAAAGAATAGTAAAAGCAAAAATAACAAAATTAATAAACGTGCATTATCAATAACATGTTTCCAACGGTTCTAAAACTGGCAAAGGTTATACCAATCTTTAAAAAAATGTCAACTGAGGATGTTACAAACTACCGTCCAATTTCTCTAGCTAAAATTTTTCGAATATCTTTTAAAATCTCAAATAGTTCCATATTATAGGCTTCTGTAATAACTATTCAACACTAGCCATCAATAAACGTACACAAGTAATTAATAAGGGTTTTGAAAATTGTTTTTATGGATCTTGCCAAGTCCTTCGACTATGTCCTCATTCCATTCTTTTAAAAAAATTAACATATTAAAATTTTGACGAGAACAGTATTAATTTAATAAAATCTTACTTTATTGATCGAGAACAGTATGTAACTATCATGGATACCGATCTGAATTAAGAATTATTAAACATGGGGTGCCTCAAGGACCCATTTTAGGTCCTATACTTTTTTTAATAAATATAAATGATTTACCTACTTGTGAACCAAATAGTATTGTCATTTTATTTGCTGGTGTCACTACTACAGTTAATTGTAGTGATACAATCTCTTTTTCGAAATAGTTACCAACAAAGTAACTTTGAAAATTGGTTCAGTACAAATAAACTGACTTTAAACAATGCAAAATCTACATTTTTGTCTACTAGATACGAAGAGTTTGATTCTTCAGCAACAGTTAAATTCTAAGGAATTATATTGGACTCGCACCTTAGCCGGGAACCTCATACTATCTCATAAGTAAGTTTGCTATTTTGCAACACCCTGTATAAATGAAAGATGTCAGTTTTCTTTTAATTTTTATATAAATATGTATTATATAAATAAAAACAATAAAATATAAAATATTTTACACTAGCAATGATGAAGATAAAAACCAAACACTACATAATTATTTGGGGCTCTCGAACGGACACCGTTATGTTTTTGTGAGGCAGCACCTGACCCCCGTTTATGTAAGTCTCGTCTTTCACGATCACGTCCTCGCCCAGAACGGTGATGCCTTCCATTCTAACCCATCGTCCAATGGAACAGGTCCAGCCGATGATACAGCTTTCCAACCAAGAGTTCGAACGGACTATCGCGTCTCTTAGGATGGTACTCCGTTTGATACAAACGCCTAGCAAAAACATAATGTTATTTTTTTATTCACTTGAGCATTTAGCCGCACTGAAAAGAAATTAGATTTAAAAAGACAAGTCGATTTTACAAACTTAGCAGCCGTGATATAAAAAAAAATTAATATGGTTTGTAGTGCGCGTAAAAACTTTAATAAACACAATCTAATTCTCTAAAGGAATGTTGTGTCATTGAGGGAATTTAAAAAGAAAATGTTAGAGTATGATAAGTCGATTTAGAAGAGTATATTTTTAATGCAAGTTTGTTTTCACACTGTATTCCGGTATAGTTTTTAAATGAATGAGTTGATATTCTTGACAACAAATTTTTGTATTAGGATATTTCCTATTTCAACTAAAGATTATTATTATCTTAAATTTACATACCATCTTCGATTACCACTCCAGGTCCAATAGTAACATTAGGCCCAATACGGCAATTAGCACCTATTTTAGCTGTCGGATCCACCAGAACGTTACCCACAATCCCCTCACCCTTTGACAGTTTACTTGGAGCAGAAATTCTCAAATATTGCAAGTATAAACACATGCCCGTAAGAAAGTCCTTGGGCTGGCCGATATCCATCCAAAATCCCTTCAACTCAAATGCAAACAACTGTTTATCAGATGCCATGTAAGGAAAAACTTCCTTTTCTATAGAGGTCGGACATAATTCTATCCTACTTAGCACACTAGGGTTCAAAATGTACAAACCAGCATTTATTTTATTCGAAATGAACTCTTGGGGTTTCTCTACGAAACTAGCTATACATTTATTCTCGTCGTAAACAACAACGCCGTACTTAGAAGGTTCTTCTACCTTGGTTACAACGATAGTACCTTCCTTGCCGTGTTTCATGTGATAGTCGTAGAGATTTCGAAAAGGAAAATCACAAATGATATCCGAATTAAGCACAAAGAATGGCTGCGAACTCCTCGAAAGTATATCTTTGGCCAAAGCTAGAGGACCGGCTGTGCCCAAGGGCTCCGATTCGTGAGAAAAAATTATGTTCACGCCCATTTTTTCCGCTTCCAATTTTATCTCATGCTCCATTTGCTCTGCTCTGTACGACACTGCTAAGATGACTTCCGAGACCCCGGCCTCTACTAAAGCTTCCACTTGGTGAAGTAAAATAGGTTTATTTGCAAATTCCACAAGTGGTTTGGGTCTACTTAACGTTAAGGGTCTCAGCCTCGTGCCGTATCCTCCTACTAGGATCAAAGCTCTCTTCTGTTCATTCATTTTGTAAGCTTGGAACGAAATTGGTCAAATCTTTGGTACTTAGAATCACAATAGTTAATATCTAACGATTAGTCACCTTTTATTCAATAAATTTGTTTCTGTATTCGATAATCACTATATTAATTGTAAAATATGGTATAACAATACGTTGTTGTGATAACAATCGAGATAACAGGTGGTAGCGTCATTTAAAGGTTATCTTTTTAATTAAAGTAAAGGTTATATTCTTCTTCTATAGAATCACAATTGGTTTGTTTAACAATTATGACTACTATATATTCTTCTTACCGTACTTTTTATCAGTTTACGACAAAAAATATAAAGGTACATTCAAAAATTTTTATTAGATTACCTATGCATTATGATGTCATACCATCGTCGTATGTATGATAAAAGTTAATATTATAATGTTAATTGTTAGGTAATAATAATAACACAAAACATATAATATCACAGACCACCCTATGTATAATATATTAATCTACTGATGTTTCAGTAGATCTACTGATTTCTCATTTGATCTACTGATGAACTCTCAATTTCAGTAAATTTTTACAAAAATAAATTGGCAGTTGCTATATTTAAGTATTTTACTTTGTCTATGTCAACGAGAAAAAATACGAAATCTCTTTGGTCCATTAATTATAAAGAAATGTTCGTTTTTAATTTATAGTTTTTTTTTGAAAATTTTTATTTACATTTTTTAAAGACAGATGTTTAACATCGACTATATAAATAATAGAAATATTATTATATATTTGATCATGCTACTTATATCTTCTTTTAGCTGCGAGATTAGATGAATCAGCCGTTATTAATGGCGCTGTTTGTACCCTATGGCAGTTCAGCTGCCTCTTTATTATTTTATTCGTTATTGGTTTTTATTTTAACATTTCTCTTATTGTTTAGTTTCTTGTTCTGTGCCACTTTGTCTCCCTATCTTCTCAAACATACCTCATTTTCATTGCGTTTATTTTACTATTGTGTTTCTTCATATATAAGATTTGAACCTCTGTCTCAACGCTTTCGCGCGCTGTAATCTTTATTTGGGATCATTCATAGACGAAAAGTTTAGCATTGCATTATTATTTCAAACTCGTAATACCTAAGATTATTTGTCTGTGTCTATTCCGAAAATCAAATGGCATGAATGCATTGAAATAAGAAAAAAATTGATAAGGATGTAGATGCTATAATGTTTCTTTCCCAGGTTCTTATACTCTTTTAATTTTACATTTAAATGATCTCATCATCAATTTTCTTATTATTTTATTTTAACTGGTATATTACATAAGAGTATGTAACCCATATACTCAAGGCTGGTAAAATTTCTAAGCAACCTATGCCAATATTGCCAATAAGTCAATAATATACATTTTTCGAATGTGTTATAAAAGAGCGCAGAAACATTTGAATTTATGAATACTAATATGGTGATTTCTTATTGGAGAAACATTGACCAATAGACGACTATTATCCATATATGAGCAATGAAATCGTTAATTGCTGTCAAATGTCAAGAAGTTTAGTTTGCCTTGCCGCCAAAATCTAGAACCCCAAGAATTAAATTAGAACAGCGATCGAGTGATGGCTTTCATACTAAACTGTTTTGTTTGTTGACATAATAAGTTGTGTAGTGTTTAGTATTTAGAAAGTACCTACGTATAAGTTTCGAGAGATTCTCATATAAGTAAGAATTTTTTACCATGTCCTCGCCGTGCAAAAGGATAAAACTTACCCCTAAGAAACAGAGGAATGCTTCTGAAGTTAGATATACCCAAGAATCAAAAGTTACGAGCACACCCCAACGGCGTAGTCAAAAGGAGCCTTCACCAGATATATCAAGGATTTCTTCCAACCCCAGCAGTGATGGAAAAATGCATTTATCTGATGCACTTCATCAATGCCAATACCAAAATCTTGCGGATTCCAGCAATCTAGAATCCGATAGTACATCGATTAGCAAATCGACCACTTCTACTCTTTTTAGCGTTGCGACATCTGAAAAGACTGGAGTTGTTGCAGGTAATCAAAGTAGAATACTTACTTTTGATGTTGAACGTTTTTTTTTTGAGAATGAGATACCTAAATGTGTTTTTTTTTGTCACTTAAATCACCACACTATATTGCTTATCCTGTAATTATTTTATATACAGGATAACCCAGAAAACTAGTCGTAAAGCAACCAAAGATTCCTGAGACTGCATCGTATAAACAGACAGTGTCAAAATCATACTTTTAAGATGGTTTTTCTAATTAACATATCTGATTTAAATTTGTTACATATATGTTATATTTTATTAATATTATTTATTATTATCTCTTCTTAAATATAAGTGACTTCATTTGGAAGTTAAATTCAAGTCCACTTTGTGGAAATCAATACACCTTGTGGTGCCTTAAAATGTTTACAAGCAGTGAAAATTTTGCAATGTTAAACCTTCCACGGAAAAATTATATGTATCGCATTATGAATTCCCATGAACATCACATAGAAACTTCTGTGAGATGTAAATGATGGAATTCTCACCAAGTAATACAAAATATTGTCTCTTGATTTTTTTTGTTTTTCCGCACAACTTCTTTCATTCTTGTTTATACCGTTGCTTATTTACCTTATCGAGTCAATGGGATCCCAACCACCGTTACAACAAATCCCTTATAAAACTTAAACTCTACTGGCTATTTTGCTTTCAGTTAAAAATCCTTTTAGTTAAAATTAAGTTATAATTGTAAGTCTACTTAGAAAAACTATAACAATAATCACATTCCTAAATGTATATTATACATTTTTTGCTTAATTCTTTGTTTTTATATTTATTTCAATGAAAATTGTTTGAAAAAGTGACTAGAGTAAAAATAAATCAGAGATATTTTGAATCTCGATAAACATAGGCAAATTCTTTTTAGCTGCGTTTCTAGATAATTTGTACATGAATACATGATGTTTTATTTAATTGAGCAGACTTAAAAATTTAATTTGGGAGGTCAAAATAATAAAAAAAGCCCTACGAAGAAACATTTGGATATGCTTGATCTTTGAAATACAGGGTGTTGAAATTCAATCTCTTGTTACTCAAAACCTAGGAATTGTTATGATAAATTAGCAGGAGGTACTTTCTGTTTGAAATCAACAGATTCAATAATAGAAATTCATTAGTTTTCCTTAAAAGAGGAATTCACACATCCCTCTCCATTTGCTGCTGATGCAAGAAATGAAATGATTTTTATAGCTTCATAAGTAAAATTATCACCTGTGTGTATTTTTTAAATTAAGCATTTTTGGATTAAGTTGGCTTAAATTCAAGCGATTTTACCTCAGGAATTTGCGGTTGCTGTATAACCTTTATTTTCTGGGACATATAGCTAAAAACAGTAGTTAACTACAAGTTTTCTAAACCTTTTTTTCAGTTGAAGATTATGATGCGTACATCAACGAATTTAAAAAAGTTAAGTACACTGGCAGAATATGGAACTTGTATAAGCCCTCTCATGATGACACATTATATGCACGAATTTTGAAGGATCCTCAAGACATCCAGGTACTTAAAAACGGTATACAAAGTGTTCAGAAAGGAACGGGCCATACTTTACAAAAATAAAATAATTTTAATCAAGTTACCTAGTACAGTTTTGATTCCTAAAAAAGTTACAGGTTCCCAACAATTTTTTTTACGTTGTTTTAAATAATTTTGTTACTATTTCAATGAAATTTGGTATAGGAAGGTTTTGAGGTAGATGAAAATGAACACTGGCTTATTTCTTACCCAAAACATAGAGGTCGCTAGGAATATCTGCAACAGTCTTTTGTTTTTTTGTGCCATATTTTCGCTATCGGTTGAAAAAACTAAGAATATCTGTTGGTTGAAAAAACGGATATAGTTACTTTGTAAGAAATCACATTATTTACTGTAAAAAAATGTACACTTGTTGCATGTTACTAAAATTTTCAAAGGAAATTGGATTTCAAATTTCTACTTCTGTTGTCGATTACAAAGAATTGAACTTTTGTCTCATTCAAATCTAATTAAACTAGATCTTTTTGCTAAATTTAGAACTGTATTAAATACATTTTAAGATTTAGACTCTCCTACCTCTATTCAAATGTCAGCGCCAAAGGTACGTTACTTCTCACTAGGTACAAAATAAATATAGTTAGGCTTACATGAGTAAATTCATATTATTATTATTATTATTAAATATGGAACGTTTCGTAATCGATAACTGCGGCAGAAAACTTACGTCTATTTTTTTCTGGAAAAATGATTTTAGTAACATAGGTACAACAAGTATATCTTTCTGACAGTAATTAAAGTGGTTATATAAAATAGTTATATCTCAAAATCTCCATCTACAAAAAGGATATACTTAAAAACAAATGACTTTCAGGTATGCAAGCTTTGTGCTTCAGGTAAGGAATAAGTCTGTTCATCAATATCTAAAAAAGTTGTTTCCTTAAATAAAAAAAAAAAAACAGAACACAAACAGTATTTTGGAAACCTTTAACTTTTTAGGGACTAACTAGGAAATAACTTTATCTGAGTAGATTTATTTTCATCCCAGGAAAATATCTGCAAAGTATGACACTTTCCGACACCATATACAGGGTGTAACTTTGAGTGGGGGTCATATTTATATGGAGACTACCTTATTTGACCTTCAGAAGCACTTATCAATAGTTTATTTTTTTCAAATTCCATCGTGAACACTTAATTATTTTTTAAACTTTTTTTAGTAATTTTTTATACCCCATCTCCGGATAAGCTACTGTGATCTCATACAACTGTGTGCTGTTGCCAAATCTCATATTTAAAGGAAAGATTATTAAAAAGTGAATTACCACTTACCTTGAGATACTGCTCTTTGGAGCTTTACTTTTGTTGAGGGAAAAATGATTCTTTTAAATAAGATGTGAAACAGTACTTAACGAGTAATCTAGCAGAAAACTCTAGCAGTAATCAATAATGATAAAAATTCAATAAACAAAAATAAGTCAATAATCTGTGTACTCACCTGATTTTTGCAGCATATGACACTTGAAATTTTGTGGCTAATCGTTGACTACTGGCATCAGGATCCTTTTTCACAGTGTTTAAAATTTCTGATTCTAAATTTCTCATTTTCTGAGTATTCCAGTACACCATACCAAGGCACTTTACAAACATCATCTCGTAATGTGATAAAGAAAAAACTATAATGAACATGTAACAAACCTATTTACCATCCCTTCATATCATACCAGATGTGAGGCGCTATGGCATGTCAGCAGGACAGCTGTGGCTAACCTCCGTTCCCTTCGGAAGAGTTCGAGCCATGATGGGATTCTGCTTAAATTTAAACAGTGACAGT